TTTTGGGACAGGTGTCGATGCACCTGCGAACACCGATACAAACTTTGGTCGAAACACCGGACGGACCGGACGGTGGGTCATGGCACCACCCATTCACTGACCGAAAAAAATGAACAGAATCGACAAGTAAGACATCGACTGACCGGGTGAGTAGCCTGCGCAGTACCATCACCGACCCACCTGACTCATGAAAAGCCTCGCTGGAGTAGTCTAGGCTAGCTGGGCTCCGCGCTCTCTCTCTCTCTCTCTCTCTCCATTTCGAGATCGCTCGTTTTCCCTCCTCAGGTTCCTGGCGTGCTTAACTTAAGGCCCTTAGGGTTGGTTGTGCCAAACATCCTCCCAGAAGGATTATCCACATGGTTCATATACCAAATCATCTGTGTAGGGTTTTGGATGTTTTCAGATTCACCCAATTCCCAAACTCGAACATCCAGCTACTCAAAAAGCCAAGCCATCTGCTCACGCTGGCCAACCCCGCTCTTGGCCCAGGCTACCTGGGCTCCCGGGCGGAGAGTGCAACTTCCCCGGCACCGTCTGCCATTGAAAGGTCCTTGGCACCTGGCGTAGGTGGCTTCACCGACGAACGGCTCCTGGCACCTGGCTAGGTGCTTTGGACGGACCCATGGCTCTTCGTCAAATGGACCAATGGACCCAGCCATTGGTGCAAATCACGAAACTTAGTGTAGTGTCAAAGCCATCTCACAAAGGGGCAGAGATGACTCTTTGGGTGTCAAGCCTATGAGTACAAGGGTACCCCAACTAGAACGGGTCGATCATTTCTGGAGGGGTCAAACTCTGGCAGTTAAAGCTGCCAAAATGTTTCGATTTGGGATGCTGAAAAAACCTGTGCTTGCGAATGTGCTTGGGGCATGTGCCCCCTTTCTAGCTTATCCATTACAATGGGACAACTTGCGGAATTACATTCCCTGTACAAGAGACAATGATGAGATAGTTGATGCAACTTCGTGGGAATTTCCAAGTAGCCACTATCTACTCATGCCTGGGAAATGGAGGATTCCACTCGGCTAATTCAAACCTAGTCTGAACCACCAAATGTTATCTTTAAAAAGGAAAGACCATATGTTAGAAGTCCACGTCACTTTAATCATTGATCTGTGCTTCCTCCACTGGGAATGCTTCGCTGCACAAGGTCATCTGGCAACGAGTCCACCTCCCTGGTCTTCACCAAAATCCCTTCCACACTTGTGAGGGAAGCCCCACCAGGTGTGCCAGACACTTCACCAGGTGTGTCGGACCAAATGGAAGGCGCGCGAGCCTCCGCTCGCCTCAATGAATCACTGGGACCAACGAGACATTGGATGGATCTATCGACCAAGCCTCAACATCTTCCGAGTGGCTGGGCCCATGGGCCCCAGCTGATGATAGCCTAAACAGGCCTAAACATGGCTTGTGTGCCATTCCCTGTCGTGAGTGGGTATCCTTGCCACTTCATTTCGCTCGTTTTGAAGACTTGACAACTGCATGATACTGCATGCACCACTGGTTTGCTTTTGCACTTGCCCGTATTGATTGAACACCGCCGAAGAGATGCTCCTATCCTTTCAAATTCTCACCAATGCCTGCCGCCGCAAAGCCTGCCGCCGCAAACAAAATCTCCGCTCACCTGCGCCAACTTCACGTAGACATAGGTCCCTTCAGCATCCTGCGAGGGTGGGCCAGGCCCTTTTTGGCCGTGCCCTTTTGGCTTGTTAGGCTGATAAGTTGGTTGACAAGAGAGTACGTATGGAAAACACTAGGACAAATGATTGACCATGTGGGTTTTGTGCTTTATGGGACCCCAAGCCTTACTTGCCCACAATATGTTTTATTCCGCCGCGCGGCCGACTGAGTTAGAGCGGCCTCCAAGTCATCCGTGGTCATCCGGTAGCCATGGCCGAACTCATCGACCAGATTTCCTGATCCCGAAGAATCGGTGATCCAACAAACCTATTTGTCGTTGGTATCTGTTCTGCTATCAACATAAGCACAAAAAGCGTACCCAGGGTATTGTTGCTCAAGATGTGGACAACAAATGCACCTTGAAAAAAGGTTTGTTGGGGGATGGGGGCAACCTGTAGGAAGCGAAATAAGGACTGTTTGGTGAAAGTACAAGTATGTGCACACTGTACACCGTTGACACCTCTATCCACACCTTTGAAACCGACTGAGAATTCTGTGGCCAAAATGCTTCGACCCTCAACTGTAATGGTTATTCCGTTGTAGCTCAGATGTGAAGCAAGTGTTCATCGGCCTGATCCTATCCCTTTTCAGCCCTGAAGGAGGTGTGAACGTCATGAACTTTTGCATCCGGTTCTTTGAGACTCGAAGATCCATATTTCCAGGTACCCGCAGCACCCCTTTAGGGCCTGGGATGGTTCTTGGAAAATACATGGTCGGAGGGTCTTTGAACCACCCAGTTCGGGTGGTGCTGGCATGTAGATGTGTGTCATATGAGTCATATGTATGTGATACTGTATTTTCATATTACATATCTGTATATATAGTATAGCAAATATAATATTATATATCTGTATAGTATTCAAAATAATAAATATACACATATATTACAGCAATCCCGCTGACCCGCAACGTGTCTTGCCGAGATTGTCATGTTAAAAGTTGTTTAATTGTAACCACCAGCCAATATCTCAATGTGACGAATTCGGACCACATCCATCGCTCCGATTGTTGGCGGCCTTAAGACTCGTCTAGCATCTTCTGGCCACCCACCTGGTTGCTATTGGTTCAGGAGAATGTGCCCCTTTGTTGCAAAGCCTCCCACCAGCATTCAGCAGTACAGGCTCAGCATGAATACAACGTGGCGGGGATCCACTTCCACTCCAGGACTTTGATAAGATCTAGGTCCTGCAGACCGCCCTGCAGATCCCTGTCGGCTGCACCCGTCTGCCAAGAACCCGATCGTGATCGTCGGCGGGTTCACCCGTCGACGCCAAGCGACGCTTTCGGCAAAAGCCGTTGGGAAGTCGATCGATGAACCTCGGCGTTATGAGATGCTTGAAGAGACTAAAACAAAAAACGATGCTAGTCTTTCGTATGATTCACATGGAAACTTGCCAAGCCATGCAGTCTACTACCCAGAAGGAAATGGAGAACAATTAAACAAACGCTTCCTTCGGCCGCAGCCGTTGGCCTTTCAGAAGGTGATACCAGCAGCAAGTGCTAATGTGACTCATGTAGTGTGCTTGTACCTTCGAGAAGACCTCAAGGAATGGATTCTGTCTTTCAGGGGAAGAATCATCCAATTTTGAAGCAAACCACAAACCCATGTCAAGGACCAGTATAAAGGATTGTGTTTGGCAAACTCATGCAATCCTCCAGGTCTGAAGCTGCAAGATATATATATATATATGTATGAAGTCGAGGAGCATCGATTCGCTACAATAGACCCAGTCTCAAGCACTTGAAATCACAATCCCTGAACGCACTCAACAAAAGGCTGGAACAACAACACATCCTCTGACATGGGGATGATCAAGACATGTTAATGTATTGGGAAGGATTGATCACACTGCCCACGAGCAACCAACCCCTGCGACCAAGTCAATTCCAGCAACATGTGCATCAGTTTGTTGAGTTGCTTCGCTACACCTCTTCCTTTGCTTGCAGTCATGCAAGCGTAAACTCTGGCCAGTCACTGACCAGTCACTGCTAGTTTGTGCTCTGTGCAACGAAAAGCTAGGTTTTTCTCGGGTCACCAATCGAAATTCATTTGATACGCCCAGATCACGTTTTCGCGGATCGAAAAGCCTTGGTCTCTTCTCACGAGTTCCGCCTTCGATTCTCAGAGTCCCGGCTCCACCACATCGCACCTCTGAAAAGCAGGGTGTGAAAAGCAGTGATGTTTTGCAGAGAAAGAAACACATAGCACCTCTTTGAGTGAACCATGAAAAACCAAGCTCCTTTCTATATTGGTTTATTTATGTTTGTTTGCTTAATGCGGACACAGAATTAATTAATGAATGAACCTCTCCTTTTTAATGAAGCCCAGCTTGAGCCCCTAATACTAAACCAATTTAATGCCCAGATTTTCACATTGACATCCGAATAATCGTTGTTCTTTCCAAAAACCTCCCCATATTAATCAAGCCCAGCTGCCCCAGAAAAAAAAAGCTAATAGTTTACTATAATAAACATTGTTATTGATTATTATTTACTCTATTCTCTCTATATACCAAAACTGCTTTTCATTTCAACACTATTAAAACTCTATCAACATCTTGAGGTTTTCAAGCTCACAAAGGGTAACCCTCACACAGGCCTCAGTGTTGACACAGAATCCTATCAACCATCATCCATCAACGGGTCATCACCTATATGGGATGTGGTCTCCAATACCTGCAATCTCAAACCCGGAAAGCTTAGCTAGTTCTCCATTTTGTTTCGTCCATGTGATTTGTTTAAAGCTTGGCCCAGACTTGAATCGAAATTGGACCCACATGTTCATTTTGACTAAATCCAGTTCTCCACTATGCCACGAATCTTCGAATTCCCATCACTTTTCTTATGGTTCTTGTTCAGTGTCAGTTAGCGGAAATTTGATGCTCTGACATGTGCTGGCTTGGGCAAAGGGCATCACCTTGCATTATCCGAACATGGTCACCAGAGATAAACAATAAACATTCAGCTATTCAAATGGATGTTAAATAAGCAAATAGACACCAGACAGCAACAATGAAACGCATAATGCCAACACCGGATTAATCAACGCCCTCCCCTTCAAGGTCAACAAGTCATGTCCCTTCTAAAATCTTCTAAATTCATGGCCCTTCCGTTGTACAAGGAGTCTGGGCTGCCCGAGTCCTCGGCTGACCAATCTTTTTTTGAAAAAGGGTGCACCGCACTGATCGAGGTGGAAGAAAAAAGGGCTTATTTCCAGAAACACTGCTGGATCTTGTTCCCCCATATGACAGTGGGTCAAAGCGAGGTGCAGGCGACTGTCAAGTTCACCATGGTTAACCATGTCTCGTAGTTTATTCTGTTCATCTTCGATGCTTGACCATCTCGACCTTACATCGCATGGCAACCGTTGGCATCACCGTCCATTGGCCGTTGGCGCATGCAACATTTTGCGCCAACTCCTTTGCCAGAAGCGTATCTATCTGCTGATAGACGGACTCTTCGGCAAAAATGGCGCAATGACCCGTCGATGCCTCGCCACACCGGCACAGTGTGCTTGGATCAGTCAATATATATATTGTAGGCACCGAGGCAAACCAACCAGTGGGATGTGGATGCATACCATGCATAGCGATCATAAGCAACTCCGCCGCTCATACGAATACGGGCCATCCATCTTGGATGGTTGCTAGTCTAAAGAAGCGGTGTCTGATGCACACTCACACGACCACACGACCATGTGTTGAACATGTGGTATGGTCTGGTACCTGAAAACATATTGATCTTGTCAAAATTAACATAAAACTAGCCTCCATTACATATTCACTTATACATATCACTGCCCCTTAGATCAACACATAATTGTGTTGTCTATGATACTATGGCCGATATGATTGTTGAGGCTTTACATGCCGTGAACCAAAGTGTGAACAGTGGTGACATCAACTGACAAAGCTGCAAATCACACAAACTCACCCAGAACAGGCCTAGAATTCCAATGCAAAACCCCAAGAATCTTGAACGTGTCCATCCTTGGCTACAAAGCCATTTTTGTGGATGCTTTCTGTTCTTGTACCTTTGGGATCACCAATCAGCAAGCATCTGCAAGCATCATGAACATGACCGTCTAGTCCAAACCACGGTCAACTACCAAAGGTTCTTCAACAAAACAAACTAAATTAAGTTGGAGGCCATCGCTATTAAGTTGGAGGGCCATTGCTTCTAGGTTGGAGGCCATTGATACCGATCACCTCCCATTCTTCCGCCTGCAAGTGCTGAACTTCCTTTGCGCGCTGCAGCGCCAGCCTTCGCTCCTTGGCGCCGTCAGGCATGGAGAGCGCCAAGTAGACCATGGGTTCCGCCCGTGGACAAAGCTGATGTGCTTCCTGGAAGACGCACGAGAAGTGCCCCGATGATGGTGATTGCCGGCTGCTAAGGGTGGGGTGGATGGGACAGATGTTTGACCGTTTAACACACATAAACACACATTCTTGGGGCCCTCCGCCATATCATGTTGGAGTCTGCCGGGGAGTGCGAGTTGTTTTTGAACACGAAGCTCTTTCGCGCCGTCGTGTGGGAACCATGTCCACCTCGGTGCCAAGTGGTTGGACGCAGTGATGTATTTGACGCCTTACATTCAAAAAACATGGTAAATACATGTATATAATACACTGGTTGTTTCGGACGCATCGTTGTAAAATCGTCATGTGTAGCACAAGCCGTTGTTATAGTGCTTTTGAAGATACCGCTCGGAAAAATACTTTTCATGTTTTTTTGCAAATGTTCTGAACTACAACAGTTTGAGAATGCTTGAGATGTCCCCAAATGTCACATCCAAGCCAACATCTTTGAAAGACTATGAAAATAACATAAATTCACCAGTCCTCGGGTACTCCGAAACAAGTCATCGGGTACTCCGAAAAATTGAAAGTCACGGCTGCCATCCACTTCTCTTGAAACAACCAAACAAATTGTCCCCCAACCCAAAAAAAACATCAAAGACATGAACAAGACACTTGTTGATATAGTTTCTCGCACAGGTTTTTGGAGTCGACACAGCACATGGTTTTTTGGGATGAACATGGATGAACAAAAGGTGTTTAGGGTTTAGAAAAAGTCAGTTTTTGCACGAACAGAACACCTCCAAAGGTGTTGTACATGGTTGTACAGTGTCAAAGATCCATGGTCATCATGGCCATGCTCTATGCAAAGTCAATCTAAAAGCGAGGTTCGGTACTGTCTCCATTTCTCTGCGAATAGGGACCTACCACCAATTTGCTGGGGACCTACCTAGTACAAGGATGTGCACTGCCTTGGCTCCCCCAGCAACCCTACACTGAGCGTTCCTTTCTGCTATTTACAATGTGGCAGGTCTCTGTTTATGCAACCCTAGGGGCGACGTACTAACTTTCTGCGTGAATACTTGCACGATCTTGCACGCGCTCTCCCGCCGCCCACCCCCGCGTTTCGCTCCACGCCAACAATTCCCTGTGCTGTTCCAGTGCTTTCCGTCATCAAAATCGGGATCTCTCCCCCTCACCTCCAAACCCCTTTCTCCTACAGGAAAAGCAGTTCTTTTCATCGCTTTCCGTCATCACCATACCTAGAACCCTTTGTTGGGCAGAAGTTTCTGCATATTATGGGTAAAGGCGCCTTTGTCCATGCTTAGGCGTTCTTGCTCCATGTAGGCGTTCTTGTGCCCTCTACGCGTTCTTTTCTTTTTGGTGGCAATGCTCAAACAGATCCACGCACCACTGGTTCCAGGAACTTCCATCGTGATGAAGTAGGTTTGGTCATCTGGAATTCACTTGATATTTCACTTTTGCATGGGTTTTGTCATGTCTTGCTTCAATATCTTTTTGAGTAGGTGGCGGAAATGAAGTTGGGAGAAATTGCTGCCTAATGAGGACCAATGAGTACACACTTCTTCGGACATGCACCTGTGCTAAACTTGCATTTGTGTTATATAACCACTTAGCATAACTCTGATGGTTTTGCAAAATAGTAAAAACGCAAAAGCAAACGTAAAAACAGCAAGTACAAAAAGCAAAATAAAAAAACAAACAAAAAGCAAAAACACTGCAAATGAGACAGCAAAAACAAAAAAAAAAGAAAAAAGCAACAAGCAAAAAAAGGAAAAACACAAAAAACACAACAAAACTGAACAAGACACATCAATAAAACCAAGCTAAAAAAGCGGTGAAAAACGGGCAAGCAAAAACAAAACAAACAAATAACACAAACAAAAAAGAAGCGAAGAAGCGAACCATTAAAAACACAAACTATTGCTTTTGCATTTTCATTTGCATGTGTTTGCTTTTTGGATGTGCTTTTGTTCGCTTTTTGCGTTTGCATTTTGTTGCTTTTTGGATTTGTTTTTTGTTGTTTTTGCTTTTTCAGTTGTGTTTTTTACTATTTCCAGGATTCTCAGAGTTAGCCTGGGTCCAGCGAACACAAACTTACATGCTTACAGACTAATATAGGTAAGCCCTGTACCTCTAGCTCCCATCCAAAAAGTATCCGCCATTCCATGCCATTCCCCAAAGAGCTCCTCGAAATGCTGCAGGCAGCTCCGGCTGGTCGCAGTGGTGTGACGCCACAAGCTGGGCTGTTGGGCGCAGATCTGCCCCAGACCCATGTGCGCGCCATAGCGAAGGTATGAGAACTGCCGGAGGCCAGAGATCTCTGAAGTCAGGTATCCTGGGCGATGCGAACGTCGGTCATGGGAGGTCAAAGAAGGTCTTCTTGTCGCCCAGAGTCTCCAGCCGGGTATCTAGCCTTGAGGAATCACACTTCATTCCTACATAAAATCAAAATTACTATTATTGTAAATTATTAAATAGTCATAGTCATATGATATATACTGGAATATTATTAGATTCATGTGTATTCTCAGTCCTACGATGTCCTATGTAAAGCATCCCCTGATCTTTGGAATGCATGGTGATCATCTTCTACATCCCTCAAGCAAACCCTTTGGAGGTCTATGCTTTGCTTTCAATTACTAATTGAAACTTATGAAACCACTTGCAACGAGTGATTGCGAGTTGCAGTGGTAGCTTGACCCCTTGAGAATCCTTTAATCGTTGCTCCGGAAAGGTTTCATGATCCAGCCGGTCCAGCCGATGGGTCTTCCGCTCCAACCAAGCGTCGCTCCCAAAGCTCTTTGGCGACTTCGAAGTTCTGCAGGGAACGATGTGACTGTGCCAAGTAAAAGATCGCACGTGTGTATTGCCAAGCCTCGGTCCGCAGCTAGTTGCGACGTGCTGTCGCTCCTGTGTCGACCCATACAAATGAAGAACCAGCAGTCCCTGGAGTGGAGAAAGACCGAAGAGCTTCCAATTTGAATTATTTACAGTTTCAGAGTAGATGGCACAGACCCCAAGATGTCCTTTAGATCGGGATCCATACAAACCACCTTTTGGGGATTGTGCCATCTATTCTCAATCCACAGTAAATTAAATAGGTTTTAATCATCTTCGGCAGATCAAAGCAAGTGTGTCGTGGGAAGGAAGCGGAATCCTTCACGTCAGGTTCTCCCAATCCTGAATCCTTCCTTTTTTCGCAGTCCTCTGTCTGTTCTTTGTCATTAATGTGGCCTTGCAAGGTTTGCGGATTCTCTCTCACTGGGATGCGAGCCATGCCTCAACCACCATGGCCAGCAAATACTGTGTATATATATATATGTATATACATGCTCACCCCCATGGTAGATCATAGGGGGGTGTCCATATATATATATATATGTACATTATGTTATATACCGGCCCTTGATAAATGGCTTTGCTGTTTCCAGAAGCTGCCCCTTCGTGCATCGGTTTCCAGGGTTCCACAGGCAGTTTGTGAGCCAAGGGTGGACATTGTCTGTATTGTCAAGGAACATAATTAGTCTTCCAAGGGCATGCTTTCCACTTCCATGTCAAACTATGCTGTTAGTCGGAGGGCAAGCTGTTTTGGTCCAAAGGTACATCCAAGTGGGCGTCATCCTTATTCAAATAGTCCTCAAGCAACTGCACATCTTGCCGCAACCTGCCGCCACAATTTAAACTCCATGTGGAACAGTGTGGAACAAACGAATCACAAAGGAATGCGCGATGACATGATGACATGTGTAATCTTCGATCGCTTGGTGCCCAAACTTAATCTTCCTTTTGGTGCCACGCCAAGGCATTTGAGACTCTTGTCAACTCCCATGTGCACGAACTCTGCATGCCTTCTTGTTGATTTCTCCTCAGTTCGTTCGGCATTGTGGGAGATGTAGAAGCTTCCTGGCAGGCATGCTGTCGCGTAGCGGAGGCATGCAAGGAAGTCTCAACTGTTGCCAACTGCAAATCCGCCAGTGTACCAAGAAACGGCTGTGCCACCCGACCTGCGACAGGTTCTGGCAGCCCTTCCAGCTGGGATGCATCCGTATCGCCGATGTAGTTGATGAACAAATCATTGCTCAAAGTCCTCACCGGGTGGATGTAAGCTTCCTGAGCCGATGTCCAAACACACCTTCCGCCTGTCCACGGTCCGACACTCGACATCGGTCCGCCGGGGAAAGGAACTTCGTCCTTTTGAGCGCTCTGGGACAATACGAGAGACCAATCTTACAGAATGAAACGTAGGTCTATGGGATCGGATCGAGAGACCTGGAGAGCCTGATGAATCATTCCAAGTCGGCGACACGCAGTGCGACACGCCCTTTTCCACACAACATGATCAACATGTCGAATCATACGAACGAGACTGAAGTGTTGTGAAAAATGTTGCTCATATTGGCAAGTGATGGCAATAGCCTGCATGAGCATTGCCTGATTGATAGAACCTCAAAATTGTTTCAGCTGTTAACAAATCACGTACACTGCTTGGATTTATCCTTTTGTAGATCCCCTCAGAAGCACCAACATGTTGAACAAGGACAAGCAAGCACAAGGAAAGGACTTGATTTACTGTAGCAACTTTGCAATGTGCCTTGTAGAAACATCTTCGACACCTTCATCGTGTACAAAAAATCCCTTTATAATACAGCCTTTTCCTAGCAACAAAAAGATCTCCAAAACGGGTCTCGACTCGACCTCGGCCTCCTGTTCAGACCCTCTACGCAACTGACTGACTTCCGCGGCTCGGCAGGCCAAGTCACGTGGGTCACACCCACGTAGCGCCAAGAGCTGCTGTTCTGAGGCCAGCCAGGTTCTTGGTGATTCTTGGAACGCATCAAACGCTCCGACCAATACCAAGTCTTTGAGCCCATGAAGACGCGCACATTGAAGACCTCCTGGCGTTTGGATGCTCGGTGTTTGAACGGATGGCTTTTTGTTTTTGGGGTACCAAACATGTGGGACCTAATTATAACAACGATACAGGTTGGCTGTCATGTGTTCATATCGGTTAAATAGCATTCATGGATCGGCTAGGAAGCTTGCATATATATATATAATATTCAAGTTTGGGTATTGGCAAGGAAGAGTCATGGCTCCTGGAAAAGGCCCTAGTATGTTACATTCATATGTTCCATCATCTGAACATTTCTGGCAACAGCCACAACAGATCTGCTTTTGCACCGGAGTATGCAGGATTTCTTTCTGTAATCATCCTTCCCTGCTTAGGGACCGGCCATCGTCGCATGGATGCTCACGGCAGTTTGCTAACAGAAGAATCCCTTTCCAGATTTCAAGAAAACGATCTGGTTCCTGCGGCTATTTCATGGAAGCTAGCTCTGCTTCTCAAACAAATCAGCATCCTGGCTGGTACGCTCGTTTCTTGCGGGCGCGTAAAACGAGCGTTGGCTGTTCCTTGGAACCCTCCGCTGGGTTTGCTGAAACCGCGGAAAAGCTGGCCGTGTCATGTGGAAGAACAAGTTTGGCTCAGCATCAAGCCACCAATTTGGCTCAGCAACTTCAACATCCTGCCAATCCTGATCTTGTCGTCCATACCTCTAACAAGTCACTTATTTAAGCTCCGCAGCCATGAACGGTGACATATCTTGATTACTCTACACCTGTCACTCTTGACGTTGGCCAATGGTTCTCTCACATGGGCATGGCTCTATCCCGCGTATCCCGCATAGAGCTTTGGCCGCAAGTCCACCTTGCGCGTTGAGGAGCTGATGGACTTCAGGCCCGCAACTGCGGCCTATTTAGGCAAAGACTATGTAAGACCAGGGAGAAACTGCTTCAGAGAGCTATGTGGAGATGGGTCTATCCATACCTGCACACCCCTGGTCCACCATGTAGCGTGCACGACCGGTATGGTAGGGTGCCGGGGTGAACCCCGCTGGGTCTCCAGGTGCCGTGTTGTGATCCACCACATGCGCTTGATGGCGGCGATTGTGTAAGACTCCCTTTAAGCTACAGAAGGACAGGTTTCGACAGGTTTTAAATGGCTTTTAAACATGTGTTCACGGTATTCAAGGTGTATGTCTCCAACTCTTCTCTGAACACCCTGAGGGGAGCGACATTGGAACTGCAACTGCAACAGCGGCTAGAGTTATGCTTGAATGGATTGCCCAGAAAGTCATGGGAATGCAAAGCGTGATAAGCCCATCATCACATGCATCAAAACCCTGGCAAGTACTAGTGACTGTTCCCAGTGTTCTGTGATGAATTTCTGCACCACTTGACCACAAAGGGGAATACCCGCTATACACTGACTGATGTGAGGATTCAGAATCGAAAAAGCTCTAGCGCGGGCGGATGTTGTCCAACAGCAGTTTGACTCGCCTGCGATCTTCCCTGAGCATCTTGATATGGCAAAACCTCGAAGGGTTTGATGCCACACGCGGCAAACTCCCGTCGCATTCGTTGTGAATGGCTCTCCCACTGCCTCGGGCGGAAGCTGAAATAGGCAGAAACACAACGACTGTCATCACCAAGACTCACTGACCATGTGTGTGTGATAAAACACTAAAGCGTTTGGTCACCCATGTGTCTTCTTTTCACCAAAGAATTGGTTGTTGGATCACGCACATCTCCCAAACACGGCAAATGGGACTGGAACCACCCCCATAAAACAAACAAAAAACACCAGTCGCGTGGAGTGTCTGGCTCTTACACAGGCGAGCACATGTGGACCCTCTGCCGGGTCGCTGTTCGGAGACTTTGGATTCCACCTGGGTCGAGAAACCGATTCACGGCGGAGGGTGCTTCGCACACGTGGTCTTCACGCATCATCTACTCAAGCACCATTGGGTGAGGCTTACCAACCCGTAGGACATGTGAATGTACATGTTTCCCTCCCTTCCACCAAAGGGTTGAAGACATTGATTCCTACATTTGTTGCCTATTTGCTCAATAGATCACAAAACCATACGAGTAAATTGATCCAATTTGTCAGGGGATGTCAGGGGATGTCTATCTGTCTATCTCCCTCGACCACGGACTTGCCTGATTGAAACACCCAGCATACCAAGTAAAAAGACATTTAGCTGAAGTGAAATACGATGAAATAATGAAATACGTCTTTGTTTTTGAACTGTCCATGTTGTCAACCTCGGGATTTAAGCTCTACGAGCAACCTTCAAAGGATGCCAAATGTGTGCATGCGGGCGTCAGCGTGTCTCGCGCGCGCTTTTGCGTGTTATTGCTTCCAAGACACGGACTGCCACCTAATACCATCGGTATCATGTCCCAGTTGCTCCACTTCCTCTGGAATCCTCATGGGCATTCGAGCCTCTGGTGATTGAGGCAACCAAAAGGAGATGCTCATCCAGTCTTCCACCACCTCCTGGCCAGGCCGTGCTGCAAATCGAGCTCGCCAGGCCGTGCTGTTCTTTTGTCTTATCAAGCTACAAAAGGCTTAGCATCGTGTTGTCTTGTGACATGAAACTGAAAAAAACACACACACACCGCCCTGGAAGCCTGCTTGTACTCTCTCAGAGACACCACTTGCGTCTCATAGGGCCCAGCCACGCTGTTCCAATACATGAACTGTGGCGCCCCAGGGCGCAGCACATTGTCACCCACCACAATGGCGGTCTCTGAGAGCATATTGAAGTCTACAATGCGCTGCAGGTCCTGCGAGGTCGTCAAGTTTTTTGAGAGGCGAGGTCAGCAAAAATAGATTCAGTCTGAGTTCAACGGAGAGTCTGGGTATGTTGAGTTCTCTCAAAATACATCGATGGCCAACGAACAAGCAACGGGAGCGGCTCAACAAATGAGCGAAGGGACACGCAGGCTTTGGTCTACTTGTTGTCCCGTTACCAATAGTGTTGGGGGAGTACCCTATTTCTCCAGCTGGGTCATAATCCATCTGTCGGGGGAAAAAGAACCGCAAGCTTCCCATGCCACCAAAGCACCAAGTGCATCTTCGTCCCCTGTTGATCGAAAAATAGGATGTCGATGGACTTCTCTGGCAAACGTTCCTTCAATCGTGGGATCAGATTCTCACTGTGCCCACACCAAATCTCAATGTAGTCCTCATGGTCGGCGGGGGTCGCAAACCGTGTGGGGAAAAAGCAACACATTCTTTCCCGGGAAGTGGATGGTTTTGTAACAGTCCCGTGACGCCACTCATCCCCTTGCCGCTGCAGGTTTGGTCGCCGGTCCGACTCATTGCTCGGGATGTGTCAAACGTCGAATCGAGGAACGACCTGTCACCATATGTCATGTGGAATCCAAACCAGGTACATCCAGGTACGTTGACATGCAATAATATTCAGTAGTCAGTAGTCGGTAGTCACCCGGTAGTCCATTTTGTGAGTCAACCAGTGTCGTGGCCTTTTAAACCAACAACTCTCCACATGCTCAGTTCGCTCTTCATTGCTTCGCCCGGCCCACCCCCACTGGCCAAATAAACCGTCATTAAAACATCTTAAAGCATCGTTTCCTGGACTTTGGGGCACCTTCCTTCCCCACAAGTCACTCTCCCAACCCATCACCGAAAAACCCCCTCCGCACCACCTCTATCCGCACCACATCCGCGGCTCCGTGAGCCCTGCCCACTCGATGGTATTCCGCGCGATGGCCGCATGGTAGGGATCCACCTCCATGGAGATCACGCGACCCCCCCAGTGGCGCATCTGCGAGGCCATCCGCGTGGAGGAGTAGCCCACGTAGAGCCCGACCTCCACCTGACGAGCGAGCGAAAGACCAGTCCAAGTAACCGACGGTTGGACGGTGGGACAACCAGCTCCCAGTCCCCAGACGGTTCGGGTTCTATGTTTCGAGGTTGTAGGTGAATCGAAGTTTCCACCTATTGCCATCTGAGTGGGAGAGACCCATTTCTAAAAAAACAAAGGCTGGGCCAACCATCCACGTAATTACTTACCAAAAGGTCGGATCGTCTCCCTCCAGCTGGAACTCAGAACTCCCTCACTAATTCATGCACATGTTCGATCGGGTCCCCAGCCAGGGACCACGAGGAGGGGTAGAACTGGCCTCGCCCGGCGTCGCCCGGTAGGTCCATTTAAACAGGAGAGACCCTTAATCAATGGCTAGGCCAGACTGGTCTATTTGTGCTTGCAGTTCGATTGATTCTCCATTTAATTAAAATAATGAGAAAGAACTTGACTCACGCTGGACACTACATGATACCGGAAGTCTGTGTGGTTTTCCTGACACTAGATGACATTAGCTGTCCAGGAACAAGGAAAAGAAGTCACACATTTGCAGGAAGGCAATTCACCCATAAGGGAAAAGCAATTTTTTCACCCGATCCGCAACATTCATCCATTTGGAGGCCATCGCTCTTAGGTTGGAGGCCATCGCTAGTAGGCCCAATGCCTTCCGCACCAGTTGGCAAAAAACGACTGACGCCATCAGCTTGGCCAAGATGCCACCAGTTTGGCCTTGCCCTGCAGGGCCAGGACCTTGTCCAAGACAGCACCTTATTGCTTGGTCGACCCACACCGCGAAAGGCACAACATTCCAAAATATTCTCTCTCTCTCTCTCTCTCTATATATATATTGTTATACACTGACTACAAAAAACTTGTATACTGCATAACACATCCCTGTATAACATATCCAGTACACCCCAGAATCATGAAGAGCACGATGGGGAATCTTCACTCATCATCGCACGATCGGTGTTTTCGATGTTCTTCCTGAACCTCTTGCTTCTCGCTAAGCATTGCTATAAGCCAAACCCACATCTATGCCTATCTCATCCGTGTTTCAGCCCAGAGGTTTTAACATCTCATCGAGTTGGCCCGTGGGTGGCGCCTTTCTCATCTCCGGCCAACTTCAACCAAAGCTCCTGTGCCGGAGGTGTTCCCGGGCCTGTTTGGGCCATAAATGGGGGCCATGGAGCAACACGTCCGATTGATGGCCTTTCCAAGAATGGCATGTTGGGTGTAGGTCAAACTAGGTCAACAGTCTGGGACATCCACATCGTCACAGAATAAAGAGACAACTCTACCAGGGATGATGATGATGACGATGATGATGATGACGACGACGACGATGATGATGTAAACTTACAGCTTCAGATGTAAGGTTTTGTCTCTGGCAGTCCTTCTTCTTGTTCCCTTGAAAGTGAGACCGCCCAGCTTCACCAAATCATTGGACTGGTCTCTGAGGGGCCCGAGCCGAGTCAGTGAAACAAAAAAACAATAAGTATATATATATACAATAAGTGTCAGTCCACTAGGTGCTCCAGGCACAACACAAGAACTACAAGCTCCAGTCTGCCGAGATCGATCTCCTGTTCCCGGGTGAAGGCTTCGATGGCTCTGTGGATCACTGGCACATCCTGGCGCGCCGCGCGAGGAAAAACGGCGCCGTTGAGACGGAAGTGATCGGAAGGATTGGAATACTCTCTATGACTTCCATTGTTGATAGAAACCAATATAACCAATATATTGATATTATATACACTCAAAGGACGCTGCTGTCCTTTTCTGCTTTGAACAAAGGGCTTCGGTATGTGCTGACCATATGTTATGGTTTCAACTGCAAGCGAAAACGAAATCGGCTGCATGCTCTCCCCTCGCGATTCTATCGTGCAAGGTGCAGCCAAATCAAACAGACTCAAGCCCTCTCCTTCCGGGTTCTCGGATGCTGGAGGTGTGTCACAAAAGAAGGCTTCAAAAATGCATCTTCTGTTCACCAGCCTAAAACGACATTCCCGCAATGTGCGAGGCCAATGGAACAAAAAGCTAAGCACACTTCCCTCTCACTGCGAACACCCCCATGTCATTCGGAGTCTCGACTCAGCACGTGTGGACCTTGGAGCTGGCCATAGCAAAGAAGAGGCTAACTCCGGTCCAGCTTTGCTTCAAGTAGCCCATTGAGCGATTTCCTCGGCGGTTGTCCACCCTGGCAAACACACGGCCGTCATCCAGCTTGCCTAAGGAAACCACACCCGCCGTGATCCCGTCACTGGAAGGCGGAGCACCCACCTCCGTGTCGTAGAGCTTCTTCCGCCACTCACCGTGCTTAAACACAATGATGTTGAGGGTGCCCTGCTGAACCTCCACCTGCAACGTGGTTGGTGACCTCTGGCTAGGGCTTTCAAGTTCGCTAAGGAGTGAGTCAGGGAACATCCACGAAAAGCCAGCCAGTTCACCATCTCTCAGCCGTCGAACAAAGCGCGGCAATTGCTCACCCTCCCTAGCGAAGAAAACTCCATCAAAGAAAACATGTGGGCCCACCATCGGCAACTCGCGGTGAGCTTCCACTGCTTCGATCTGATCTTCTCGGCCTGTAGAGAGCCGTCGAAGAGATGCCCCTTCCATTTCTGTGCTCACGGCCTGGGAGTGCGAAGACGAAGACAACGGCACTGAACCCAATCCAGTGCTCCCAAAGCCACCAGTTCCTCTTGCCGTGGCCGACAGCGAAGAAGAAGCCTCTAACTTCACCCGTTCAATCTTTTCCAAGATGAGCTGGCCCACCGGTCACCCACGTTCACCTCAAACGGTTCCGCACCATTATTGACCAGGATGATCTTGACCTCTCCCCTGAAGTCCGCGTCCACCACACCACCGGCGACATCAACCCCTCTCAATGCCATCGAGCTTCGAGGAGCAATCCTTCCATAGCACCCAGGAGGGATTTCTAATGACAAGCCGAGCGGCACCAAGCGGCGTTCTCCTGGTCGAAGAGTCACCTGCACTGACGATGCAAGATCCCATCCAGCAGCTCCCGAAGAACCCTGCGCCGGCAACGTTGCTTGGTCATTGAGAAGGAAAACCTTAAGGGATTCTTTTCGTGCAAAGAGGCGACGAAATAGCTCCCAGCCCATCTCCTTTGCCATGTGGAGCAAACACACAAGACCGGCCAAAAGCAGGATCCATGCCTGATCACCCCAACCTCCTTCTTCAACTTCTCCCCTGGTCTCCTTTGTCCCATGCGTTCCCGCGGCTTGTGCTCCTGGAAGCATAGCTGCGCCCACCGCTAGCAGAGAGAGTGCCCTAAGTGCCTTGGAGTTCTCAATGGTTCCGACACAATGACTGTCCCCCCTTTTCTCAAAGTCCTTCGTCACCAACTCCAAGGTGCCCAACCATACTCCTTGACAAAATCGATCAAGTTGCTGAGCAGGGAGCGGCTTAGTGAGACCATCGGCCCACAACGAAGTGCCGGCGCGATGATTCAAGATGATCTCACCCTCTTTTAAGGCCTCAGCGAGACAGCTTGCACGAATCCTGAGATGACGGGTCCTCCATCCGCCACCTGAACCAGAAGCCAGAATCACTGCAGCTCTGTTATCGTTGTAGATCTCAAGGTCCACCTTTTGAATGAGGAGCTGGATCAACGCTCGCACCGAACGGCCAGTCTGGAGACCTTCAACAATGGCTGTCAACTCAGCCTCCGCTGTAGAAAGCGCCATCAGAGTTTGCTTCTTTGACTCCCACTGCACTGGACAGCCCGCCAAGAGGATGATAGTGCCGGACACACTGTGGCTGTCACCTGGAGAAAAAGAGGCATCCACCAAGACTTCGACGGTACCGGCATGACGGGGTTGCCCTCTTCGAAGATCCGGACTCATGTCCTCCGGCACCCCATTGGTGTAGTGGAGCCCAAAGTTCAATGTGTGCCTCACATAGGCCAAAACAGCCTTCCCTAATTCGATCGTCCAGCATGGTCTCTTGACTGCATTCTGGGCCATCTTCATCACCGCCCAAGCCAGATCTGGACGTGTCTTGCCGGAGAGCCAGAGCAGTTCTCCTGTGATTTTTTGGGCCTCTCTGACCTTCGGGAGCGACACCGCCTCCTCTTGCTCGGAATCTTCAGGGACCTTGATGAACTGTGTGGTTGAAGTACCTGGGTGTCTGTCTATGATCTCCCGAGCATAGCACTCTTGGTGGAGAAAGTAAGAGCCGTCTTCCCGGCGTTGGATCTCAATGCCCAAAAACCTCATTGACCCACCTCCCACGACAGCATACTCAGGCGCCGAAGTTGACCATCGATTCCGGATTGTGGCTGAGGCTGCATCGGTGATAGACCTGGCTCCAACCATGAGGATGTCATCCACATACACAATCATGTGGCCCAGAACCTCCCCCCAGCTCTTGCCCTCTTCCTTCTCCGATAAGAAGACCTCCTGGATGGCCCATAGGTTCGGATCTTCCATAGGACGAAATGCGAAGCGCCGTTCACGCTCCATTCCTCCGCCCTCCTCCGCCTTGAACACACCCTCCATCTTCTGCAGCTCAGCATCACGAAACGAGCTCCAATCCTTGGGCGACGTCACCAGCCCGTACATGGCAGAGGATACCAACCAATGCTCACCCGCCTGGGTCAAGTTGGCCTCTTCGAGTATTTTCGGTGGCTTGACGATGACCGTCTCCCCTTGTGCCTTTGGTGCCAGGAGGAATGCCGACTTCACATCAAGGGTAAGGCACTCCCACTTTCGAAGGGCTGCAACTCGAAGTGTCGCTCTGAGCTGTGTTGAATCAGGCCGCGTGGCATAGACCTCATCTCCAGCTCGCGGCTCCATATAGTTCCCACAGCAGACAATTCGAGCGCGGCGACGACCATCCCCAGCCTTTCGAGTAAAAACTCCCATGCCTGGGATCAGCTCTGCCCTTTCTCCTTTTTCAAGTGCCTCCGCCAGGATCCTTTTTGTCTCCTCCTCGTCAATCCTTTTGGTCGCCTTGTTGTTGTCAAAGTTGTCGATCTCTGTGCGAAGAGGAGGAATCCACAAAGGCAAAGACTTTCTTACCTCCTGCAGGCTTACTGTTCGGGTCTGCAAGAAGATCTCCTCACTCTCCTCCGCCACCCTTGATGCCTCGGCTTCCAATCTTCGGCATGCCGCACCCTGGTTAGGAAGGAGCTTCTCAATCTTCATGTTCTCCTCATCCAAGTCATAGATCACCTCAATGACATTGATCTTCTCTTCCCTTGGGAATTTCCATGCGTCCAAACTCCTCGTTCGCCCATTCTTGACCTCGATGAAGCCGATCATGTAGTTCCTTGGCCGAGAGGCAGGACAACGATGTCTTCTCGCTCAGTCTCCTGCGAGGAACCACTGCCCCATCCAAGATGCTGGCAGGGTCAGGACGCTCTTCCACCGTCACCACATCCATGAGCGTTGGAGGATCCTCAGCCTGCACAATGTCATTCGTCCTGACGTACTTCCCCTTCTCCACCTCCACGATGTGTCCACCGCTGGTCAAGCTCATCTCGGGGTCAGGACCGCGGACCACTCCAGATTTCTTCCTCTGCCTCCAATGGCCTTGGAAGTCATCCCAGCCTTTTGTTGTCACCATGACCTTCCTCCCCCATGGCAATAGTGCTGGTGTAGTGAACCCCAAAGCCCGAAGCTGCATTCGACCTCGACGTTCACCAATGTGCTTGGCCATCAACGGCCACAAGTCTTCTCCCTCCTCCGACGATCGAATCAACGTGTTGATCCCCCTCCTGATGACCCCGATCTCTGCCTCCGCCCGGCCATTGGCCTTCCAATCGCTGCCGCATGTGAAGGTGCGGTATATACCGCGGTCTTCACACCACCTCCGAGTACCCAACATCTCCGCAGCTGCATCACTATGCGCCCGACGAACTTCCATGCCTAGGTACTTCAGGCGTGCCACCATGCGAGCGAGCGCAGCTTTGAGATCAGCGCCCTGTCGAGAAGTGAGCGTCTCCACCATGGTGTAGTTCCGAATGATCACGTCCTCCGCCTCGACCTCCAACCGCTCCCATTCTTCTAGCCTCTTTGGATCTCCCTCCTTGGCTTCTTCCACCTCCCCCTGCACCTCCGGGACCAACGGCTCCTCAGGAGGCACTTCTTCTGGATCTTCGGCCGTTGCCAAGGTCTCCACTAAGCTCTGAGGAAGTGGGTCTGCACCATCTACGGTCTTCTTCACTGGGATCGCGTAGACACCCACAAGGAAGTAGCGGGATTTTTTGCGGTAGTCCTCGCCCGGTCTGAATGGTCCACAAACATCTAGGCTCAGTGTCATAGCATCCGGATGCGGAACCTTTCGATGAGGTCTGCTCTTCCCAGCCCCCTTCAGGCAGGTAGTGCACTCCTTTGAGAACGGAACATGATCATTCCAGACATGCGTCTTCCATTGATCGGCCGTCATTTTGGCCACAGCTGCGTGATCTCCCTCCATCGATGCACTACACTTGGCATCGAGCTCAAAGATGATGGCCTTGACCACCTCCTCCTTGAATCTGGTAGGCCACGCTGCCCATCCCCTGCTCTGGTTTGATCTCTCCTCCATGGATGCCTCTGTGCTAACCACCTGATCACGAGCACGATGGTCAGACAAACCATTGAGGTTGAAGAGAAGCGGGATGTTAGTTCCCAAGGTGGTTGGCTTGCGACGATCATGGCCTAGAGCTCCCAAGTCCAGACGAACCTCCTTGAGATCAAACCTATTTCGGAACTCTTCCCACTCCGGCCAAGCGTAGAAGGACGGGTACTCGATGGGGTCGTTTGGGGTCTTGTACTCCTCCGGATCCCTCGGATGCTCCTTGAGAAAGAGCACCAAGCGGTTGCGAGCTGCACTTGCCAGAGTGTAGAGCCACAGCTGCCTCATCCACAAGACAGCATCCCCAAACGCCAGTTCCCGCATAGAGTCAGACAGGTCCTTCAAAGCAAAACGTTCCGGCCCAGATCGTGCTCGGAGTGGTGGTGGACCTGGTCTCCTGAAACGAAGCTTGGAAACCGTCCGGCACGGAGGTCCTCCTAGGATCACGTCCACAACCCCCTTTTCACACACCTCGGCCAGGAAGCTGGTTAGATGATCTGACAATAGATCTTGAGCAGCATCAGCGGACTTGTCAATGCAGAGGACCGTCCTGGAGTTGGAATCGAGCTGCTTCTTCCACCAAGCTTGCTCCGGGCCTGAGAAAAGGTGCAAGATCACTGACGAGCTCGAAAGAACACGTTGACGTTGTCTACGATTCAACGGAACCTGCTCGCCAGACCATTTTCCTGTAGGGACCACCCTTGCTATCAATTCGTCAGGAACCTCAGGCCACATCTTTCGAAGATCGTTCAGCCACCTCCAAACACTCGGAGCCAGGTCCCCAGGATTACCGGCCTTGAGAGCGGCCACACGCCGGTTCATGTCGGCCTCATACTTCTCCAGCTCCTCAATCATGTGGTTGGCCACCTTGAGCTCCACTGTTGGGCATCCAGCTTCCAGGAGAACCTCCACCTTCTTGTTGGCCGGGTTCCAGAGCTCAAAGGATTCCCCTTCCCACTTGACCTTATGGCCCAGCCGGACAATCTTCCCCAGCGGCACGATCGTTTGGGTATCAAAGTCCGTCAACAAAGTCCCAGACGTCTCCACCTGTCGAAGCGTGGTCACCCCAGCAGCCAACTCCACTTTGATGGGGATAGCCCTGTCAAATTCCGCCTTCGAGTGTGCGGGTCTCAGCACATGGGTGGCACCCCCATCCAGTAGTGCCCTCGAAGGTCCATCCTTCGGGTTGACTGAGCGCATATTCACGGCCTTGACCGATGGTCGAAGTGACTTCAGAAGCTGTACCGCCTCCTTCACCAAGTCATCTGATGGCTGGATAGTCGGTGGAGTGAACGTAGTGGCCGAAGTCCCATCATTTGGCAGCGCACCCGAGTTCTCCCCGTTCTTTCCACCCACCTCCTTGCCCTTGGACTCGTCCGTGACCTCCTTCTTGACCTTAGGCACATCCTTGACGGGGCAATCCGGTTTCATGTGCTGCGTTGAGCCACAGGTCCAGCACCGGCCCTGCTTTGAAATCCCTTTCCATTCGTGGGGAAACGAGCACTTCTGTCCCTTCTTGCACCCCGACTCCGAGAGGAAGTAACGGCAGACCGGCTTCTCAGATCCGCCAGCCTTGTTGTCGTTCCTGACATTCTTGGAGTCAAACTTCACATTCTTGGAGTCCCGCTGGTCTTTGGAGTCAGCGCTATCCTTCACCTTCTCCTTCCCGTCCCGCGGTTTTCCACCATCTTCTTTCCCAACTCCATCACCATCCAAAGCACGCACCTTGACCGTCTCCTTGATGGGGGCTGTCGAACCTCCATGAAAGGTTGCCTCACCCTCCGCCAAAAGCGACTCCGCGAACTGTTGAATCCCATTCTCGGTAGGAGCAACGTCCACCCGAAGCGCCGCCCGAGTCACCTGAAGGCGAAAAGCCACCTGTGAGGAATGCTTAGCAAGTCCAGCTGCAAAACGGTCCAGCGTGGCCAAAAGGAGCACCGGGTCAGGGGGCTGGATCTCGAGCTCTTGTACTCGCGTCAACCATCGTCGCCATGCCCTCAAAGATGTCAGCCACTCTCCCAACGCAGATGGCACCTTTTGATCAACCAATTGCTTGAGCAACGTTGTACGCTCACCAAGGCCACCCGGCTGGTACACACGGAGGATCTTGAAGATGATGCTAACCGATCCAACTTCCCTCTGGGATACAAGTTCTGATCGTAGTGATTCCGGAATGGCCTTGAGCAAAGCCACCGACCCCCGCTGTTCAATGCGGAGCCATGGTGGTCTCTGAAACGCAGGTGGAGCAACTGGTACCAACCTCAAACGCTCCATCGGCTCAGAGTTCAGCCAAACCCGATACAAAGCACCTGCCACGTTGAGAACTTCATCCCACCACATAGAGGAGCTGGAACTCATATCACGCAAGAACGGCCCCACTGTGGTCAACCAATCGCCGGCAATCAAAGGCCCTATCTCCGACTCCGACAACTCCGGTAGTGCAGGAAGGTCCACTGCCCTCACCGACTCCTGTTGTGCCATGAGCCCTCCCAGCCATGCAGGAACACCTGCATATGGAGCACCTGGATCACCACCTGGAGGGCCTGGGAAGCCACCACCACCAGGAAAGCCACCTCCCCCAGGTCCCGGAAGTCCTCCTCCACCTGGAAAACCACCGCCGCCTGGATGGCCTGGATGACCAGGGAAGCCACCACCTCCAGGAAAGCCGCCTCCCCCAGGTCCCGGAAGTCCTCCTCCACCTGGAAAACCAACGCCGCCTAGATGGCCTGGATGGCCAGGAAAGCCACCACCTCTGGGATGTTGTGGACCTCCTCCACCCCCGCCATGAAGACCGCCACCTGGTACTCCTCCTTGAAGTCCTCCCAGGTCACCATAGATCCCTTGCCCTTGAGCTCCCCAAGCAGGATGTCCTCGTGGAACACCATCACCTCCTTGACCTGCCGAAGGAACCCCATTGTCCGTCTTCGTGGACCCCCTCACCGACTGGTCCCTTTCACTTGTGGCTTCACCAGGGCCACACACTGTCTTTCCATGATCTTGTCCCGAATCACCTGGAACCGCAGCGGTGCCACCCTTGAGACCCCCTGCCTCATAGTGACCTGGCCCAGCTCCCAACGTCGATGAAATTTCCTTAGCCATCGCCCCAGAGCCAGTCTTTGTGAACGCCCGAGACATGTCCATCACACCTGGGAGCAACGATTGCATGACACCACCTGCCGCCGCCGAAGACACCCGGTTGAACACTTCCATCAAACTCGTCTTCGGACCGCCCTGATGAGGAGAGGAAGCACCATATCCACCATTGAAGGCTTGCCCACCAAACTGTCCCCCACCAGAACCACCATTCGAGAGAGGTCCAAGGAGTCCTCCATTCATGGGCATTCCCGGTGTCCCTGAGGGCATTCTCATGGATCCCCACATAGACCCCCATGAAGATCTCTCTCGAGCACCACCATCCGGCATCATCCATGGAGGACCTTGAGGCCAAGCACCTGCAGGTGGACCCCAACTTTCTCTCTCCGTCCAGAGGCGAGCATTTTCACTGATCAAGCCCTGGAGGATTGCCTTGAAAGCTTCTGCCCCTTCACGAGGCGGGCTAGCTGAAGGAGTTTCACCCGGCACAAGCTCTGTGGATTCGGAAGGAAGGTCCATGGGCCTAATGGCACGTAAAATCGCTTCATCCCTCATCCCTTCACTCCAGAAAGGATTCCAGTTGGCCGGACCCAGGACTGTCGGAGGTCCCTCCGGGCGTGCGATGACCCCTGCCGAAGGTGGGACATCTTCTATGGCTTTCACGCCACCACTCTCAGGAGTTCGCTCCAGCGAGGCATCATCGCTCATGGCGAACACTTCGAACTAAACCAAAAAACGAGAACCCTTACCACGTGGGCGTGGTTGGGCTCATAACCCACTCAAAGGACGCTGCTGTCCTTTTCTGCTTTGAACAAAGGGCTTCGGTATGTGCTGACCATATGTTATGGTTTCAACTGCAAGCGAAAACGAAATCGGCTGCATGCTATATATATATATTGTTAAGATTGTTGATATGGTTTCTATAAGGATATCCTAAACCCACTGGATAACTCTCCTGATTTGTTGAGCCAATATTTCTGTCCGAGAGATGTTCATGACTTCCATTGAGCCTGGAAATCCTGTGGCCAATACAAATATGAATCCACCATATCCTCCAACTCGGGCGTGTCCGATTCTAGAACTGGCCTGGCCCTTTGGTTCCTGCTTGTTATAGAAGTCATTTACATTCCTTACTTTGTTTGCTGGTTTATCTGTGATTGCTTCTCGTGGTTATTTTTCTCGTGGTTTGTGTGTCTGTCCGTTGCTTCGTGTCTGTTGCTTGCGATTGGCTGTGGGAGATTCATGTTGCGAACCACCCAAGCTGTGGCTTTTCTTGGACCTCACAATGTCATCTCTTGCTCGCGCCTGGTATTTGCCGTGGCTCAGGATGTAGTGCAATGTCCCAACCTGGTCACAAAGCAAGGCCAGAATCCTCCGAACCCACAACAAAACACCAGCAGCAACACTCACCAAGACATATTACCAAGGTTTTGCTGTTCCAACATGTTCCGACCTCCTTGTAGTATTCGATCTTGTTCAGCCGCAAGCTGAATCCTAAAGAGTTCGTGACCCACTCGTGCTCGTCCTTCTCCCGCCGTCTCCAGTCGATATTCCCCACGCTCGATGGAGCTGGTAGATCGCCCAAGCGCTTTCGCAACACTTCGGAGAGCGGATTGCCTCCAAATGACACCGGTATGCAGTCACCACGACTGGCAACAACAGTAACAGCAATAGCAACAACAACGAACACATAAACCGATCCCAGGAGGGCTCTAAACCACTGTGGGTATTCAGTTTTAATGGTTATTACACTGACTTCAAAATCCCTTGAATCAAGGCATCTGACCTCGCATCTTCACATCTCAGTCAAGTTGCAAAGGTCTTCTCTGTCCATGAGTTGCAAGACACTTTTGGCTCGCCCTTCATCTCCAAAGGTCAAACATCGGACAGCCACGGCATTCCAACAGGCTGCTTGCAAACCTGTTTCTGTTTTCGATGGTCAACAACTTGAACTAAGAACTGTCCATGGAAAGCCTTGTGGTGGTCCCAAAACACAATGGTTTTCCATAATGCAAAAAAAAAACGGCCATTGCCCTGTCCTCTGGTGTGTGCAGTTCTTGCCATCTGCTCAAAGACATCCACTTCGCGCCGGTGGTTCCGAGTCTCTCCTGCGATGAACAGCCAATTGCTGTAGGCTTCACCGCCGGCTTGCAAACCTCGGCAATGCCGAGCGATGGATGTCATCCCGGTCCCCGTCCGAGCAGCTTGGCAAGATGGACATGAACAGGTACGGAGTGGGGGTATGGGGTTTTGGTGCTGATACCGAACCCGGACGAACCCTATGTTTGCTTCATGAAAGGGTCGCCGGGATTCCGATTGCGCCAAATACACACTAAACGAACAACTAGGCCATGTGTCAATGTGGCACCAAACAAAGGAATCGATTGAAATGACCATGTTGAACAAATTTGGTCTCATATGGGTACATTGTTGTTGCTTGATCATCCAAATCATACAGCCAAATAAAGGGTTACAAACAAATAAAAAGTAACAGATAGCAACATATTCTGTGTGCAGCTTAGTCAATCTATGGTGGCACCACGAAGATTGTTTTGCTTGTGCTCTCCTTCATCCATCAAAAAGGAAGGAAAACACACCACCACCACAACCACCACCACCACCACGACCACCACCAACAACCACAACAGCAACAAATCAACAAACCCATACCACTGTGCATGGCGCAATTGCGCAGGAGTTCGCCTGTTTGGTCAGCCACGTTTGGTTGGTTTGGCAGGTGGCCATCTCGAGAGACTTGGTCAAAGAGATGCCAGGCCACAGAGGTCAAGTTCAGGCCTGGGCATGTTCCAAACCGTTGAGCCGCTGGATTCTGTGTCCTCCCATTTCCATCCCCGGTTTTCCCGGGCAGGGTCAGCGGGTCATCCGTACAGCCCGCCAAACGAACGGAACGTGTTTGAAGCGAAACAACTCACAAGGTCCACTATAACTGGGCTGGGGTCCATGGTGGTGGAGACCGACACGTGGACGTGGTTGATGTCCAGTGAAGATGCGAAGAGTACAGGGTCCGTAGCGACTGAGACCCATACGTTTCCTGCAAATACCTGTTTTTTTCTCGGCTTGGCATTGATGGTGCCAAGTTCGCAGCACAAACATACTAATTAATCCAGTGTAGGACAAGCCTTGGCTCCCATTATGCAGGCCTTTCTGCCTTTCTATACTGGGATTGTTTTTGGGGCATGCCCTCCTGACGCCAGATGGGAGCCAAAGCTTTCTGTAAAGTATTATATATACGATCTTTGATCCTTTTCTAGAGTTTCATTATGTTTTTCGTGTGCAAATGCAGTTCTTGTTCTCTGTATTCCGAGACTTCATCAGGCCACCGCGGCCACTACCACTTCCTTCTGACAATCCGAGTTCTGCGGCTGGCGTGGCATGACAGAAAGATTGACATTCCAATAGTCTTTCTGTTTTTCCCTGGACCACTTGGACCCACTTCTTTTCCTTGTTTTCCTGCGCCGCCGTTCAACACCAAGTGATCGTGCGACGAGTCCAAGACGAAGACTTCACGAACGCCAACGTTCGCCGACACGGCCCGTCCAGCGAGGGCTGGACAGCGACACTTGAGTGCTTGGGATCGGACCGTGGAGCTCGTCTACGTCTTTTGTGCTTTGATGTGCTTGGATTCGGCTCGGATGTTTTTTTACTTGTGGCACAAGATGTATCCTTGAAAATGGCAAGCGCCTTCGTGAAAGGATTGCATTGATATGGACCTTTTTCAGAGACATTGCTGCTTGCATCACTTCCACTTTGTCTGCGTCAGATCATCCTTTAGAAGATAGGCCAAATGAAGCTTCCACCAAGAAGTTCTGGTGTCACATTGGGCGGAGCGATGTGGCAAGTAAGCCCGTCCAGGGTGGCAAGTAAGCCCGTCCAGTATCTCCTTCAGGTCATCATAGGTTAGGTCTTCGCCTGCTACAGCCATGATCACAAATACACTGTACTGCCAATGCTCTTCCACTGTGGCCTCAAAATATCACTTGTTCATGGAACATGGAAAATGCGCACGCTCACAGCGCGGGCCCTCAAGGCAAAACGATGTAGTCATGTACTGTAAAGAACCAGTTCATGTAAATTCCATTATTATTTTTTTACATCAAAAACACAAAACAACATCAAACAACATCAACGACTATAGTATATAATCATTGATAAGGTTTAGTAAATGCTGCAACCATTCACAACATTCTCCACCCTGCATCACGAACCCTGACCTGGTCCTTTCCAACCAAAACAAGCCCCCACCCCGCCCGTGAGCACCAGGGGGCGATGGAGGGAGAGCACGGTCATGGCCAGCTGAGCTCGACTGCTCTTCCCCAACGGCCTCACCTCTGTGAGCTTTTCGTAAAACCCACGGACAGCCTCGGCGATTTCGCTGGACTAGCACGGCTGGACCACCGGCGCACCAAGAAGTGAAGGAGGGCAGGAGAAATCATCGACGGTCAACACTGACTGTGCAAGCAGGATGGAACGAGAAAGGATGATGCAAAGTCAACATCCTGACTGACGCGTCCAGGATGTCCTTCAAAACCAATTTGAGGTTCATTCCATCGTACGGTACAAAAAGCAGTACGTCCCAAACCAGAACTCAACTTGGGTAAGGGGCTGCACATGTTCAAGCATGCCCGTGGATTGCTTTGTCTATGTGTGTTGCCTTGGAAAAGTCATGACTTCGAGCGATGAAGGGAATAGGTGCCGCTTCATGTGTCGCAACATGTTGGGATGGTCCAACTTGTCTGCGCTTCTCTTCAGAAGTCAGAATTGCATGATCTAGGTATCTCAAGACCTGTCAACAAGCGAATCTTGCACCTTCGTCTGAATCCATGGTGCATGAACTTATGAGTCGTCTGAGTTTAGGGAGGCCATGGGCACGAATCGTCTGAGCCGCTAACATCAGAGAAGGAGCAGTCAAATGATGCTCCAAGGCTGACATCAGGTGTCGTGGAGTGGAGGCCACAACTCCGTAGGCCCAGACTGTGTTGGAGAGATTCTGCGGTGTTCTGGCCAAGTATTCGACCCCTCTCTTCACAATCTCATCGGCTGCGCTATCAAAAAGCTCCAAGTTCTTGATGGCCAGCTTGGCATAGGACCAAAGCCTCAAACACCGACCCTTTCCCTTTCGAGGGGCGGCTCTCGCCTTGGCCAAGCGGCCTAGTGGCCTGGTGGAGTCCTAGAAACACTTGCCAAATAAAACATATCAAAGGCAACAAATGCTCCCAGTGGTCTCCCAGTGGTTTCAAACATCTAACACTTGCCAAACGGTGAGCCTTGAAGATGCCATCTCCCAGTGGTCTCTGCCAAGACTGGTCGTGGAAAACACGAAACACGACCCTGCTGGCCTTTCGGTCTTTTGTCACTCGTTTTTACTAGTTATATATACTGCTTTAGACCTGTCCATATGGATCCAACTACTCAGAAGGTAAACCCTCCAAACCCTTCCAAAACACCTTTTCAGTACTTATCTAGAATCTAGATGTCTTTGGAGTGTACTTAAGGATTCATAACCTACAAAACGACCTCAAAGAAACACCAGCAAATGAAAACACCCAACGCAAAACTCTGTCACCTCAAGAATTGCTTGTTTTGATCCGATGGGAGTCTGCACCAAAGGAACACGTTGGACAAGTGCTGCGGGTCAAAGTTGGAGATCAACCAACCTTGAACCTTCCGGACGCGGTTTCGTGGCCCGGGGGACACCTCCACGGTTTGGAATTCCGGAAAGCGGCGGCGCCGTTCTCAGCTCCAGTTGGGTCGACTGGCTGGGAGCAGATAGAAACCTTCGTATTTCACCCGCCAGGCCTAAAGAGGATGTCCAATTCAGGTGATGTACCTCAAGAGTCTACATTCAAGTCAGAGTTGGGCATTAGCCAATGTTGATTCCTTTTGGTTTGCAGGTGCTTGTAGATGTTGTCAACATGTGGACAAAGACTTGGGATCCGATCTGTCTTCCTCGTTTTTCCAGGTGGCATCCCGACAGGAACTATAAGGAATGGACCCATGGATAACCTCTCAACTCGGACTCGGCTGACAAATAAGGACGGATCAGTTTCGCTGCATCACCCCCCAAAATGTATTTTCTATGCGATGTTGTCCCCAGCATTTCTGATGCAAGAATATACTATTAAATATTCAGCGAATGTAAAACAATGTAATACTTATATAATAAATAATTATACTAATATATATATATACAGTATACTTTATTACATATTGTTATAATACAATTTAATACACATATATTGTGATACCCAGATCATCTCGGAGGAAGCACTGCATGTATATCGATCCCCTGTCGTGTGGAACACCCAGTTCTCTCTGCTCGCTCTGCATCTCTTTCTTCGCACCTGGTTTGACATCGCCTCAAAAAGCTCTTGGTGCCCGATGCGCATCGTGGCAAAGGCCCAGACCAGGTTGGAACAGTTCCTGAGGAAACACAGTTCGGGTGGGAGCTCGTGAAGGAACGAGTCCGGTACATCGCGACGGGTCCGGGATTCGAGACGCCGGTCCGGTTCCATCGCCATTCGGTCGCGCGGAGTGCATCGATCATCGCCATTCATATGCTCGCATCATGTCGTCCATGCAGTTGATTTCAACTATAGGACATGGAGCTCTGTTGGCTGCCTTTGCGTCCAAGAAACAATGGTACCTATGTTCAACTCAATCAACATGTCGCTTTCTTTAGACAGGCAGGCAGGCCCTTGTCAAGGCAAGGAACTGTCTACACAGGGCTTGGTGACTTGAAGGTTCATCGACAGCACTGAACATAAGGAGAGAAAATCAAAGAACAAAAACAAACCATAAAGATCCGTAATGCCATGACCAGCTGTCTCACAGGCCAAATCCCAAGTCACATGGGGACATACATACCACTAAACATCCCTAAACCCATTGGTTGGGGATTCGTCCTAATGAAGTAATAGTGAAATACTACTAGTGGCAACAAGCTACTAGTAACAAGGACGCTATTAGGTGGAGGCCATCGCTTTTAGGTTGGAGGCCATTACTACTAGTGACTTGAATCTGACGTTAAAGATGTTAAAGGGTCACACCCTTCTCGAGACCTGTCGAAGGACCAAAGGGAGGGAGGCCAACACAGCCACCCACCCGTCTCGGGCCACGTGAAATAAAAAGGGAGGCCAAAAGGTTGATTGAACAGTTGATTTAACATGTTTTCAAACATTATATTTCATTCAACTATAGGGGAGACGTCACGTGTCCCGGGCTCAACCTCCCAGCTTCAGCGCCCGAGCCAAAAGAACTACCGCTCCGAACCCAGAAAGAAACGACTGGCGACTCGTCGGCGGACGGACGGACGACCGCCGGCCGGGGCGCTGTGAGGTGAATTGTGGAGCAATTTGCACGGCGCTCGTGGCGACCCATTCGAAGAATTTGGGGTCTCGCAAGCCCACCTCAGAGTCGTATCAGACATGGTATTGCTGTACTCATTCCCCAAGCAAAAGAATCGCAAGACTCAACTGAATCCACGTGATTGGTTCAACCAGAGCTCACCCCAGGACGGCTCAAACAACGGGGGGGGGGTGGTGCATCCGTTGGCTCACGAAAAAGCCTCCGGCCACGTCATGTCACGTCAACATGCTGAAAAACAACGAGTACTGAAGCGAGTCCAAACCTCCAAGGAATGCCCAAACCATCCGACAGTGTATGGCCCATCAAAACCGACATGGGCTGACATTGGAGTGGTTGACCTGAATTCAATGGGTCGGCATACATGCCAGTCGGATGGCCTGGGATGCTTGGCCGAGCCAACTGTCCATGGATCTGGGTCTCAAATGCCTGGGTTACACCAAACCCATCAAAACCCTCTGTCGACCAAGGGAAAAAAACCCTCTGTGCCTTCCTCTTCTCCTTTGACAGTACGATCAATTGGTGTGAGGGTAGTCTGCTGCTTGGCCGAAGCCAACCATTGCCTGGACTGACCCCGCGGAACTGTCTTTCTTCGACCACCGTGCCACTCGTCGAGTAGACATCTCTCCGTGCCAGCCAGCACTTGCGAAGGCCCAGGCCAGGTTGGCCAGGTTCAAGGGGCTGCACTTGCCTGGCTGAATGGCCGGAGAAACCGCGGTTGAAGGAATACTGCACCTGACCCATTCAATGATTGGCAATTTCTGAAAGGTGCCGGCAGTTTAGGAGTGATGCAACAAACACGACTTCAAATTCGAGCCGATTCCTTGTCACTTTAAATAAAGGTCTCCAGGCATCTTACGACTACAGTGCTGCTTCACCCACTTCGGCGTTGGTGCCAATCCAAAAAAGCCACCGTGACTGACTGAATTCATCTCCCCCTGTCGCCTACCCGTCAGGGTCCGGACATGAAGCCATCAGTTTTCCACTCAGTTCCTCACATAGTAGCTCTTGCTTTGGGGAAAGCATATGTAATATGCAGTTTTCAGAGTGGTCATGGTACCCATGACCCACCCATGGTCGGTCCATCCATAGGCTCAACGGCTCCGTCAGTTCTGAAAAACCCTACGAACGACTTCGCCCTTCTGTGGATCGTATCTCTGAACGAACGAAACTAACGCAAACAAACCACCCTTCACTGGATGAAAGTGTTCTAAAAAATTAGACTCGCAAATTATCACAAAATCCTATAGACTCCTAGACGTCCGTCCCAGTCGCGTTCGGGCTCCATCGCTTCGCGTGAAAGCACATAGAAAAGCCCATCGTCACGGTGAGAAATCTTGGCCTCAGAACCGACGTCCGCCACAGGACTAGTCAGCGTGCCTCTTCATCTCCAACTCTTGAGGTTTGTTCAGGAAAGGGCTTTATGATTCCAACTCACAAGGTGCACCCCAGTGCTTTGATAAACACAAGAAGGACATTGCAGATCTATCAAGCTCGGAGTTTCTGCCCTAGCTCGGGAAGCCAGTGGACGCTCGGCTTCACTTCTGCCCTCGAGCGTCGTAGGCCCAGGCAATGTTCGCCAGATGCTGCGAGTCCAGTTGCGCCGCCATGCCCACGACGCGCACGGCCGTGCGCCGGAAGAGCATCTCGGAGGTCCGTAGGAGGCTGGCGAAGGACCACCTGGTTGGGCCGGCAGGCCAAAGCGAATTCAAACAATCCAAAGTGTTTCCCGCTGGACTCCCAGCTGGTGACTAGGTCCATTCCTCCATACCACGCTGAGGTAGGATCAGTAGGATCCGGTCGAAGATCATGTCTCAAAGGGGGAGTCGCCATGATGCTGTATCGCACATGTCCAACATCACGTGTCGCAGTCCATCTCTCGAAGCACCTGAATCTTGGATGTCTGTCTTTCTTGTAAGTCTTTGGAACAATCTGACATCAACTGACCCACCACACTGCTGGAGCGAATACGATGGTAATGGATGGTCACGGTATGTCACGGTCATTTACCGGTCGACACCGAAGATGTGCTTCAGTCGCCCTGAGAGAATTCCCACGAACCACTTCCTTCTTCCGTGCTTTGTTTGAGCTAGCTCTGCATGGGTCCATGTAGACAGTCAGGTGTCCGTATGTCCCTGCCAGCCATTCTCCATTTTCAGGGGCGAGCCACACCACATTCGAGAACTCTTGCTGTGCCAAGCCCTGGATGGTTTCTGCACGGGTTCGGGAGACCGCATGCATGAGGGGCTCGTGGTTCTCCCGGATCGTCGCCAGGGACCAAACCAAATTGGACCTTGCTTCCGGTCCAAGCGCTTTAGAAAAGAAACGGCAGGTGAAGCGGCAAGCCGAAGCGGCGAGCTGCGGAAGAACAAGGGGTTCTGCATGAGGACGGATGCGTTCTGCATGCGGAACGTGCGGTTTTCACATTCATCGTGTGAGAGGAATGCTTGCAGTGGGTTTGCTGACACAAGAACACGCGAAGCCAACACACTGACAGCCGAAGTGTATCGCGAGGGATTCGATTCTAAAAATGTATATATGCAACATCGAAACAAACACCTCTGTTCTTAGTTGCAAAATGTAGCAAGCTAAGGTAAAATGATGCAACATGAGCTATGGCTCAAGAATGGTGCATCCCCAGCATTCCGAGCAAATGCACCAGATTCTCTCGCGGTTCGCTCTCGCGGTTCGCTTTCGCGGTTCGCTTTCGCGGTTCGCTTTCGCGGTTCGCTTTCGTGGTTCGCTTTCGTGGTTCCGACACAATGTATCACACAAATGTATTCGCAAACACTTGTTGAGTTACAGTCTAATCTACATTTTATCATGCAATCAACAGTTATAGTAAAATTCAAGTATGAAAAATGATTTTCAAAACAATGTTAAATCGATCTTTTAAACGACCCTGTTATATATTATACATAATGACAATATATATATATATCAGTCCCTGGTTGTCCTTATCTTTTTCTCAGCCATCTCCCCAATGCTTTCCTCCAGTCCACCGGTCCCGGTCCCCAACATGCCGAGCGTCAGGTTTTGCCCATTGAGCTCGGCATATTTCTCGAGCGCTTCATCGGCGAAGAGATGCAAGAGCCGAGCATCGCGCATGGAGACCTACGACGGTACACGCATTTGGTACACACAGGAGGGAGCTGGGCAAGCGAGTGACGACCAAAAGATGGTGGCTTTTGGAAGATCTGCTCTGGGGCAAGCATATATGCTGATGGCCAGGAAACGTCCTCTGATCAACAACATGCCAAGCACCCCCGTCACTCCTGTCCTTGGCAAAGGCCCAGGCACACATGGCCAAGTCTTGTGGGCCTCAGACGTCGTGCTCTCGGCTTGCTCTCCCTTTCCGGCTCTTGCCTCCAAAGCCTGAATAGGCCGGAAGTCTGGAACCCAAATAGCTTTAGAAGGCTATAACCGCCCCCCTTTGGGGCCCGGCGCCATGGCAAGAAGGCGCAACCCTTTTCTGGCAGATTGGGGTGTTTGCCTTGGGAAACTGGGTACGACATTAGAGTGTTCAAAAGGTGTCCAGTGTTTCACAACTATACAAGTCGTAGACTTGTGAGAAGACGTGAGCAGTACATTGTTGCTCCTGCAAAGTATTTTGTTCAACATGTTTGAAGGTTTAATTGATTGAAGCTGCTCAGGTTGTTCAAAAGACATGCTCATCCGAGGCCCCAGGAAAAAGAAAAAGAACCACGCAGCTTCTGGCCAGCCTCCCAGCCATCCAGCCTGCTATCCCTTCAACGCCGCCCAAAGCACCGAAGCTCTGCACGGTCTTCGTGGACTCGATGGAGACCTGGGGAACCCATGGCGATCCGACGCGACGCTTGGTGTCGACCGGTCAATGACCTGACTGAATCACCACTGAATCGCCATGTGTGATTTGAAGACGTTGTGTCCACAAACTGGTCAATAGCATTCGGCTGGACATGTTTGAACTGTTCTCGATGGAACCCTTCTGTTATAGCTTTGTTATGGCGCTCAAAGATTGTTCCCCTAAGTGCCCAAAAGCACCAAAGGGTGAAATCCGGAATACTCCTGCTGAACGAACCAATGACGTGTCTGTGTGTGTCATTTGGAAACTAAGAATAATCCAACTTTGCACACTTGATACATGTGGCCATCGGTTTCTGCCACCGAACCTTGCTGACCTTGCATGTCGAGCCGAACCCCGCCCCTGTCCGTGCGAAGGTGCGAAGGTCGAAGGACGTCGAACAAAGGGAAGATGGTCGGGTTCGACTCATTGACATGGAATGAAATCCTTTCTTTACCGTAGTGCAGGGCCAAACCAAACAAAATACCAAGAACTTATAGCCAGAAAGTGGATGACTTCGTCCGAAGTGAAACAAGGCCGTCCTATTCCTCAACACCAACACAGCGGTTTCCTCAGAAATGCCACACATGTTTGTATACCTCACCCCAAACAACTCTTACAAAGAAACATGTCCACCATGATGGTTTCTGCCTTCCCTTGTTGGGTCAAACGGCTGCCACACGGATCGACCGACCGACACGCCACGCGGTCGGACCGACCGCGGTGGCGCGACCGCTTCGCCTGTCGCAGCAGCGCGGCCGCCGCGGCATCTTTGGCGCGCGCGGTGGCCACCGCCCAGGCCAGTGACGACAAGTCCTGCGCGGCCCGTGGTGTTTGGGGCGATTTGTTGCGCGGGGTTTCATGTCGATGCCGTGGGTTTTTGATGCGGAATTTGGGCAGTCTTTCATGGACAAAGACGTGGATCTGAGTGGGGTTGGAGTTCAATGGTTTAATATAGTGGTGACTTGAGAAAAGAGCTTTTTGGTTGGTTTGTTCTTTTGAAGAGGTGGTTGCAATGGTGTTATAATTAGTTCAGATTTTACAATACCTTCCATGCACCATGTTCGGTGTTATTCAATTTGGGTGGAACCAACCAAGAGGGAGGTTCCCCTTCTATTGAGACAAATTGCTCGCACTCCTGCAGGAGCATAAACTGCAGGATTCGGGGTGAAGCGCAATGAGCACCTATATATACCAAAAGAGAAAATTATGGGTGCAACATATCCGAGAACTGTGCAATTATATTAATATAAATATATATATAGTTTCAGTTTCTATATTGTGAACAGCTTGTGCCGAAGAGTGAGCGGGCTCTGCTAAAAGGCTTGTGGCCCTGAGTCTGAACAAATTCTGTTGCTTCTGATGTTGAAGCCATCGCCATGAGGATTCTATCATTCTGCATACACCGCCTCTTTGGTGGTTCAGGCGAGCATTTTACGGGCGGTTCACTTCTCCTAAATAAGCATCAGATTTCTGCGGTTCGCACCCTAGCGGGCCCTGCAATAGCCTATACTAGCCATAGCCTAGACAGGAAGTCAAAGCCTGCGTTCTTCAAGGAGTCTCAAGATCAGTGTGTTTCGGGGATCATTAACCTCAAAAATGCGTATACGACAAGTAGTGAGTAGTGAGCTTCCACCAACCACCATCAAAAATCCTCTCATGACAAAAAACACATCTACATCCCTCCACGGCCCCACAACCCATCATCATACGGAGTCCTCTCCTCAACCGAGTCCTCTCCTCCCTCCCCACGCCTGGCCTTTCAACCGCCATTCATGGTGCCCACTGGTGAGATGGACTGGACGGATAGTTGTCTATATCCAATCCCCTCAGAAGTAGAACAACACAAACTTCCAAAGTGGAAAGTACCAGGACCATCCTGTCTGGTGTGGACTACCCTAAACTATACCTATATAGGTCTCCAGACAGGACACCCAAACAGGATGGTCCAGGTATGTTCCACCATCTCTGACCTGGCGCCCATCCTGGCGCCCTCTCTCTCTCTCTCTCCCACTCATCCGCCCATCTGCCTGCGGCACGGAGCCCAAAGCCAAGCGCTTGGCGGCGATGTCGAAGAGTAACGCGGTGATGCGACGTTCGCGCAGGGAGGCCACGGCCCAGGCGACCAACGCCAGGAGCCGCATGGGCCAAATGAAGGCCTCGGTCCCGAGGCCGCCAAAGACCAAACGACGCCAACGCGTGCGAAAACGAGCACAGGGAGTGGAGCCTCATGGAGTTGGCGTTAAATGTTTTCTCTTCAGAGTAGATAGATTGAGGAAAAGCCGGCTTAAAGCAGATGGATTCATTGATGGGTAAGGGATCAAAATAAAAATAAAAATAGAATCAAAAAAAATATTCAACGGGGATCAATAAAAAAATAAAAAGGGAATCAATAAAAAAATATTCTGGCCCACTGAGGGTGGTTGGGCTAGTAGTAGTAGTAGTAGTAGTAGCAGCAGTAGCAGTAGCACCAGCAGCAGCGCAGCAGCAGCAGGAGGAGGAGTAGTAGGAGTAGTAGTGGTAGCAGTAGCAGTAGTCACGGCGTTCACACGAAGTTAGGCCCTACATGGCGTTGTCAGAGCGCTCAGAGCAGAGAAGTGTTTGGAATGGGTGTAGCAGCATCGGCAGGTGCCTGGATGGGAATCTCCTCAGGAAAAAGATGTGGTGGACCAGTCTATTTCTAATGGGTGCATTGCGGTGCAGGACTTTGTGGGCCTTGGAGTGCAGAGTTTGTGGCAGGCGCAGGACTTTTTGTGGGCCTTGAAGTGCAGATTTCGTGGCAGGTGTAGTACTTTGTGGCGCTTGGAGTGCAGATTTTGTGGCAGGCGCAAGACTTTGTGGACCTTGAAGTGCAGATTTCGTGGCAGGTGCAGTACTTTGTCCTTTGTGGACCTTGAAGTGCAGATTTCGTGGCAGGTGCAGTACTTTGTGGCTGTGGAACTGCAGAAAGATAGAAAGATAAATTGATAGATAGATTAGATTAGATTAGATTAGATTAGAT